GAGTACCATGCTATTTGTTTGAGTTAAAAGTTGGCACGATAACTACACCATATCGATTGAATATTGTCAACCTTACAGCATGTTTTATCAGTACAATGGGAAGCAAAATCTTCATTTTTTCTGGTTGTCTGTTTCCCCGCTATTTGTCTGTTTTGATTAACTAAACGCTCTGTTGTTGTTATGGGATTACCATCCTCGTAGAGAAATACCAATGAGTGGAAAACACTTAGTTGATCCATTGTGACTCTGCTTAAGGAACAAACCTTATCTAAGAATATTTAAGGCATGATTGAATTTCCTACTGGTGTGAACCATCCTAGGTACCTCACTGGTTAACCAAAATATCAGGATGCACTTTTAGTGATCCTGATAAGTTATCTAGCGGAAGCCGTTAGTAGTTTTGAATACCATTATCAGAATTTATTGCCTGCAACAGACCATGTTGGTGTCTGTTCTGTCTCGGCCGATCCACGATTCGCTAGGAAGGTGCACGCGCTGTGTAAATCCCGTGCACCTCCTCCGATTGATGCATAAAATTCATGCTTATAGAATTTTTTAATGTTTTAGACAGCGGCTTCTTGGTTTTATTTGGCTTTCCACCTTTTTAGCGTATTCTTTTTTCTTTGGTTGGTGGTGGTGCAGTGGTTTATTCACTATCTCTGGCATGCTTCCGACCCTATGGTCAGAAGTTTGAGCCCAGCCACCCAACTTCCGTTGTAGGTGTCTTTGCTGTCGTCCGGTTCAGTACCACGCCTAGTCCCGCGGGGCATAGGTGACCAGTTCCCATCACCGAGCAACAGGTCCTCGTGACCATGAGGTTCGCCCCGTCTACTGTTCATCACACTTCAGTGTATTATAAAAAAAATGCGACTTCTTTTTTCTGTCTGTTGCGTCACCTGAAAATACAATATTGTCCGAAATGAAACGGCTAAATTTGTAATCACACTTAGAATTACGAACTTAAGAACAAAGTCTTTGTTCTTATGCATCAATGGGAATAAATTACGAACTTATCGTCACACTCTACATCCCGCCGTGCTTTCCAACATCATTGTCACATAGGATTGCATAGACTATCTTCTTTTCTAACCGAACGATCCGAACGAGACAGTCACTGCCAATCCTTGTGGATCGATTTGTACCGGTTTATGCAAACTTGTGGTGCTTAGATTCTCACGCCTTGCCATGCCGTACGTGTGTGTGTGTGCCCGTTCGCTTCAGAACGCCCCCCCTCTCTGGGATGCTTGTGTCTGATTGCAATGTTTGTATTCCCTTGTTTAATGGTCCCGAAACCAGACTTGGCTCATGCTCGTGACAGCTGAAGTGTTACGCGTACGTATATGCCCATATTCATCACCGGGTTTGCCAGCTGTGAATAATTGACAGGTGCGGAAGGTTGGACGAAAACGTCTCCCATGCATGGTTTGTTAGCTGGCAGGGAATTGTCTGACCCGATTATGTGAACCTTCAAGTGTTGTGCGTGCAACTCTATTGATTGCGCTCCGTTTTTCCCTACACTTCCTCATAAACCAAACCACCCAGATTGTTCGAATTCGTTATGGTGATGACGATGATTCAACCCATTACCGTAAGGAGCAATCACACGGGTTCTGATTATGCACCTGCTTAATTGATTTTTATCCTAGAAAAAGTGCCCCTGGAGGATACGAAATGCTACGTACGCCACTGCAGGACACGGTGGAGAATATCCATCGGGTTACAAAACATACCGACCGGCCTTTATTATGGATTCATTGAAACACAACATTCGATCATACCTTCACTGCTCTTCTTGTCTGTTTTCTTCGTTTTCGCCGTCACTCTCGTTTGTGCCCGTATCCAAACTTTTTACCATTGGTGTTGTAGCGTTAACACCGCTCTTTACACTGTGAAGCTTTAATGGGTTCTCTCCTATGCGAATGGCCTAGAAGTATGTAAACATATTGGTACTGTACTCATATACTTCTGCTAGCCTACGGATTTAGGACAAAATGAACAGATCGTTTGAAACCGACAGCAATGTTCGTCAAGAGTGCCCTATTTCGCGATTCCCGTCACAATTCGTGGTAGCCGAAATGTTGGAGAACGCATTAAGTGGTCCTTAGAATGCTGCGATTGAATTGGCAGCTGCAGAAATGCGTTACGTTTTAGAATACGCTAACGGCATTTATCTGATCGAATGTTTGGAGGACGCGCAAAGCGTTCTTGACAAACTGTCAAGTTCTATTGCATCATTCGGCATACGCCTAGAACTTTCAAAAAGCAAGATGATGTTGCAAGGTGGTGTTGACCGGTCCTATTTGGAAACTTTGTGGTTAGGATTGGCTGAAATATACTGTTTTACTTGCGTAAGCACTTGCTTGACCAATGACTGTAGTGCAGTAAAGGAAATAATCTTCGGGGTTTTCAAGCCTCGAGCGGCTTGCGCAGAACTGAGGCACCTTTGTCGAGGATGTGAAGTTTCACTGAATTTGAAAATTTGCGTACATTAAGCCACCGTTTGTCAATTCTGCTTCACGGTTGAGACTTCAAATTCACGAATAGACGATATCCATTTTCCCTAGGGTTTCAATGATCAATGTTTTCATCACCTGATCCAGGTGGGATGGAAGGATTGGCATGGTAAATCATCGTGCCTTTTGGAATGTACAGAGGAAAAACTAGCTGTCGCATCAAATTTAGCTGTGTATGCCTAACAGTCGCTTGCTGCACAGCGCCTTAGATGCACTTGTCGCTCCGGCCTAGAGAAAACCATGTGGAGGTCAACAGAGGACGTGGACACAAAGTTTGAAAAAATGCACAGAGCGATTGGGTAGAGTAGGTGTCTCCCGTCTTCCAGACCAGTGTCTAAAGGCCTCGGTAACCGGTTCGTTGGAGGCAGTGAAGGATGTGCCAGCAAACCGGAAGCAATGGCGTTGTTGTGTCGCCTTTTATCAGATCAAAATGCTTGGCAAGCTATGTATGCACAGTTTGACTGTGTTGAATCCGGAGGTCCGCATCCTTTTTCCGTTCCTCAATATCTGTTCAACTTCCACTCACTCTTGCCAGTTCTGTATGCATTGCGAGTTTAACAGCGACCAGTGAAGTTCGCTTCATTGCTGTATGCTGATGATGGTCGAGTCAAACAGTCGAGGTAAAAATAATAGCTATGAGATAGAGGAAAGGCAAGCAAGATTCTCTTCAGCTGTCGTACTCGGACGTGAATGGGTTACGTAATCTTTAGCAATTGATCCCGCGAGCACCATCCCGTTATTGCTATGTGTTGAAAATGAATTCACGGAATACGTATGTTCGTCTACGAGGTGTGTTAAGTTTAATTAGATTGTTAGTTCAAACACATGTATATTATATTGTGCGCAAATAGTTTTTATTTCAAATTAGGTATATGCCGCTGTGTTTAATCCAACAATCTCCTCCATTACTCTTATGTAATCGATACGGGTTTCATCTTTTTCTGTGGCAACTATTTACCAAACTGGTATGTATAAGTCCCCAATTTCATGATACCGTTCGCATGTGTTTAGGTATTTCACAACTGTTCACAGTGCTTCTCGTGACGTTTCCGTACGTGAATAGGAAACTGATCAACCTATCGAACCCCCTCCCCAATTTCCAGTTCTCTTATACAGCTGATCAAAGTGGATGAGGAACACACCAACCCCAAGACTCAACGCGCTTCTCGATCGCTAGTCTTGCCAAGAAATGTTTGGCTCGTACTAAGCGTCCCGCTGTTTGCTTTTCAAGCTTCAAAACAAGAACTTGAAAGCTCGCAACCGGAACTGGATGCATTGGCTCGAGAAAACCGATCGTTACTGTTTCGTAGTCACGGTCTCACGTGGATGGCCATTCTCAAAGACACAACGATCAATATCAGTGCCAGTTTGGACGTGTGTGTTGACAATTTCCTCGTCCGACCACTCGTACATTCGGATGGTCACAATCAAACCCTTTATCAAGAGTCCTGTTCCCGAGGTCTGACCTGGCGCGATCCGCACACCGGACAGGCCCGAAGAGTGCTCCTCGACTCAACCGGCGCGGATGCCTCATTCCGACCAATCAACTCGGTTCGTGAAATGCAGAATGAGCATTTTGAGTTGGATTTGATCGAAAATAGCACATTTATCGGACGATCCAGATGGTTTCGTGTGACAGGGACCTTTATTCTAGCCATTTGTGCCACATTCCTTTTTCTCCTGTTCAGCATTACCTTGTGTGTCTCAATCGCACTAACCCGTGGGAAGCGTTGCAAATCGCCATCCCGTGCCATAGCTATCAGTCCCAGTCGAACTGTGAATTCCGGCTCACGTACTCGAGTATTCCGACCGCCGGACTATGCAGAAGACAGTCTGTTACCGCGAATACAAAAATCGAAAACAGCAGAGGAAGAAACCCAGTCATTCGGTACAGAACCGGTTTCCACAGAGAATGGGGAAAGTTTGTTCCAGCATGACGCAAACACGTGTCGAAGTTTGGTGGCGGAGGACGGAGATACTGAGGTAAGGTTGATTTTGGAGGTTTGTGGTGGTTTCTTTGTTAAATCTAATGTGATTCTATATAATCGATTCCCGTTTCATTTTGAATGTTTAAGCTATTTTTGGCCCTCAATCCCTTCCCCCATCAAAAGACAAACAGGTTCGTCAACTCTGTCTGCGGATTGAAAGAAAAAGGTGAGTTTTTCCTAAAACACGGTCGGAATGTTGCCAACCTAATACTGAGATACGCGAAGTGCAATGCCTGCAATGTGCTCGCAAACGTCGTCGGTCGTTCCATGTCGTGTATAGGTAAAATGGCAAACGGTTTGATCAGTTGTCCGGCGATCAAGCGGGTAGTATGCTTGCGTTCTACCTCTAAGTTCCCGATTTCGATCCTTAGTTAGGTCGGTGGATTCTCGCACGGCTGCTGATGAGACCGAACCAAGTGGAAACAGCGCTTCCCAGCCACGTTTTATTCAATCTGTAAACGACAAAACTCACTACAAAACATTGATTTATTTTAGGGTTGAGAAACGGAGAAAAATAATCGAAAAATCAAACACACGAATTCGCAAGTTTCACCATTCCTGTGCTCCGCTTTGTTTTTCAGGGATGATCACGCAAATCTGAAATATGTCCCACGAATTGTGCCACTAAAGAAAGGGGTCATACCGTCCATCTGAGGTTTTTCATGATTTTCAACCAGTCCCGCTCCTATTCGACGATCATTGGGATGTCATTCCCCAAGAAACTCAATGCGATTCTTAATCATTTTCATTCGTAGATGCGGAGTGTCGAATACCGTAGTTGATTCTGGTCCCTTTGTATAAATCGTCCAATCCGGTTGAATCATCAGACTAAATCAGTACAATGACGTTTATCATAATCCGCCGCTACTCTTTTGTTTCTATATGTTACACGTATCGATCACTTTGTTTTCGTGAGAAGTGTAGAGCAGATCAAATCATATTCGCCTTTATCACATGGACAAGGCCACTACAGATGTTTACGGTCGAAGAAAACACTCATTGCTTTCATTTTAGATTTGATTCATTCAATACATATTTCAATGGCCGATAAACAGTACAGTACAGTTTTTCTTCATCGTTTGTGCTTGCCACTAGGGCATAATTTCTGCACTTCTCGACCGAGAATAAAACGACAAACGTTCCATTTGGGTTCCCAGACCATTACTTCGAAGCCGCACACGATCAATAGCTTCGAATCTGTGCAGATTGCGATCTGGCTTTGTTCGAATCACGTTTGGATTTTTGAAATTTTTATTTACGCAATCTGCCTTTGTTTACAACTGGATGAAAATCCGAGCTTCCACGAATGCGTGTAATAAGTTCAATGCATTCTCATTTTTCGAACAGCTTACCGTTTTTCTCCATTTGGATTCTCAAATTGCCATTGGTTCTTGTGGAATCAACCGGTCAAATTGCTACTGAGTTCCACTGTGGGTCACCTCGTTAATTACCCGCGATTAGATAGGCACTTATTGTTCAATCGCGTAACCGGTGTGCACCTAGCACATGCTTAACTTTTTCCAAAAAATGATGACTCGATGCGCTCTATGAGCTAAAACCGTACCGTACCGTACTTGCGGGAACTTTTCATCACTAACACCAGGTGTTCCCTATTTCTTCCCCTCTGGTTATGTCAACCGGAGTTTCATGGCTGGGGTTGATTCAGTTTCCCTCCGGTTTCATTCTAACCGGGCAGGTAATTACAAGAGAATGACCGGACGAGTTATACCAATGTTAGGACAAAGATTTTTGATAATCGCGATCTCCCGTTGACGCTGTTACTTCACTTACAAAGATTACAATCGCGATGGCATGTGTGACGCATGCAACCGGGACAGGTTTCATGAATGTGCAATGTTTGATGACACACATCCGGGATGAAAGAGGATTGAGAGTGAACCGGAATCTGACGTGGTATGGTGGGACAAAAACCCGGACAGAGGTCTATAAACCACATATCTTGCATCATACCTGGTGATTAACCCAATCGAACGTTTTAGCAGACTTATTACGTGTGGTATTCGGGTTTCGTTTTAGTTCATCTATTGGTGTTTGGGCTCGTGAACCCAATGTGATAGGCGTAACTTCGATGATATTGCACGGTATTGGAAACGATATGCCCAACTTAGATGGGAAATAACCGTACAGTGAAGTACGAAGACTTGTTCCACCTTCAGGAGAAAGCCTCCAGTACCACTCCCTCACTTTCATCAAGCCGGGAGTGGGTGAACGGTAAACTGATTCTTGCCGTATTTATTTACTGACAGTGGATAAACAAAGGAAGTTACCGGGGTTCCAGTCACCTGGTCTTGTAAAACTAAGCTTTGTTTCGTCTCTACATATTGCCCATTCAGACATGATTGGATCTGCAGCTAAGAAAAGCTTGTATGCCACGTAAGACCATGAAAGCATGCAACCCATCAGTTCAGTTTTAGTTTATACTACCTACGATGGTTGTTTATTGGTTTTCAATTTTATAAAACATTTCAATTCCTCGGTCCAACTTGCTGATTGTTATAATAATCCATCCATTCAGTAAAGTGGCAGTGACTTGCAGGATGCAAATTGCTTTTCGCTTTATCGATAGAACGAAAAATCTATACGTTCCCTAGCCACCTTCAGTTACCCCAGCTAAAATATAAAGTTGTGTCCTCCACTGTCAAGCAAATGTAACTCAGGCATCCGGAGCTCAACTGCACATGCCAACTCACCAAAGTTTTAGCATAATCACTGGAGAACACGATAAAACCGAATATTTTTTGTGTTCAGGCGTCGCAATGCCCAAACTGTTCTTTACTTTCATTAGTAAATGTGAAACCGGGCGCCTGTGATTTTTGACGTTCTATAAGCCGTCTATTTTTATCCGCCTACTGGTTCACTGCTGCTTTCATAGCTCAGAGTTCAAAGCTATCGTCTGGCATTGCAAGTACATTCTAATGATTATCGTTTTGTTTTGGACGGAGAGTGTGGATTCACTATGTCCAACCGGTACGACCAATTATAATAGAAATGAGTAGTACTCGGTAAATATGATTAAATAGGTTCGATCATTTCGAATTCTGCAGTGTAGCGTTCAGATCACTGCAGTAGATAAATAGACAACATATTCTGTGTGAAGCATCACGATTACGGGGTGGCACAAGATTTCCAACACTCTCTTCATCCTGTCCATGAAAGTCAGGCTTTTTATGATTATCGGTATCCACGTACTCATTATCTCCTCGTATTTTGCTTCTTTTTCTGACACGACTGTCACATGACATTCGAGTCACACTTTTTTATCTCAGAGCATCCACTGTATGTTTCTGTTTTATTTTAACCAGGTGATGGATCCCATGGCTACCAGCGCCATGCAACTTGCTCGTAATTGGTTCCTTTACCGCAACAGAGGCGATCGCCTACGGCAGCGGACAATGATCGGTCATCCGTCTTTGACAAACCCACCCGTAGTTATCCCTCATCCTCCTGCCTCGCCCCTGACTGCCACCGCATCTTCCCCATATGCCCTATTGAAGCATCCCACAGACAAAGTTTGTATGCCCTCATTTGTAGAAACCCAAGCTTCGCGTGATTTTAAACCAACTGTTCCGTCATCAACCAATTTCCGACATTCGCTTGTACTCTCTGTGGATGATCATGACCAGTTGATAATCCTACCATCGACACAATCAATCACAAGCAGTATGCATCGTACTGGAACAACTGGAGCCAACAGTTCTATTCATGAAGTCCCAGAAGGAGAAAGTGATACGGAGGGAAATTTGACCAGTAACGAACACAACAGTTTACCCACTATGCATCAGCGTTCGCGGTTGCGGACAATCGATGGTTCCAGTCAGTCAGATACATCGCGGCATTTGGAATGCGACGGTTAGTCCGGCAGCACAATCGTTGAAATACTGTCTTTTTTCTTGGTTGATAAAACCCATCCCTTGTATGAAATACTTTTTTGTCCACCAGATCTTTCTATGCACGAGTGTATTCGTTTACGCGGCTGTCCTCTACGCAGACGAAACCCACCGACGTGGTTAAGTGTTCTTTTTCTCAACTTTATCCCAAATTCCACTTTTATGATGCGTTTAATAATCACTAGCGTTTTTACAATTTCATTTTTCTCTCCTAGTGATTGTTCTCATAAAAACCGCAGCTTTCTCACGCGCTTTAGTCGCTATTCATCCAATGTGATGCTTAGGTGCCCCATTCAGGGATCTAGATTGGCCATGCCTCCGTGAATCAGGCAATGTTGTACGGTGCTATCCCACTGGCAAATGACGCTTGAGGTGTTAAGAACGACAATACTGTGTTGTGCATTCCTGCTTACCAGCACCTTTTTGTCTGCTTTTAGTCACCAATAATAATGATGTTACTTGTATTATTACTATCATTATTGTCTTATCACCTTCGCTTCCTTTCTTAGCCTCGTTCATCCCGTTGCTTTTCAAGGCCTCTTCCTTTTCACTTACTCATCCGCCCACTATAAAAGGCATCCGCCGTGATGTTTGCTGCAATTCGGCTCCAGTTTTCGGTCCGTTTTTACTTGCTTCCTTATTCACTTGCTTTTTTTACTTTAAGTTATGGAGATTGGTGCAATTTGTTTTTGTTTTCCGTGTAGTATAAAATGAAAACTTCCCTGACCTGTTTGCCGGTTTTTTCCTATGGGAAAATCAGCTCCACGGGGCTGACCAGGTCACAACTTATTTCAATCAATTCTTACAAAATTTTCGGCTTGTCTTTTTTTCTTTCGATCGAATTTTTATTTACGATCATGGACAGGTTTGTGGATGTCTCACAAAAGGGTCTGTTGTTATACATCTGTCGGCTGATGACAAAATTACCGTGTGATTCTGTGGGTCTCATGCTGGTTAGGTTGGACTGAAGCTCCTGTAGCCCACGGTCACAACTGCGTTGCATTTTTATGAAATAGACTATCTAGGGTTTCCAGCTACAATGTTTGTTTCTTTTTATTCATCATTTACGGAAGCCGTGGCGTGCATGCTTCCGCATCCCAGAAAAACGCTCCGCAAATGAGCTCAATCATGTTGAAAGTACTCAAGACTTACAAACATCTGCCAAAACAGTTAATTCTTATTGGCTAGACTAAATTCGACACCTAATACATCCGGTTTTAAGGAAATCTAACCAGCTAACATAAACAACCCTATGGGATCCAATGGTACTTATAAATTGACGAACGTGACCCTAGAAGCACACCCACGACCATGTACCAACACATTTTTGTGTGCTATCCTCACTTGTGTATGGGCCACTGACACGCCCTCAAAAGAAAGCCCGATTAACTCTGTAAACCTCTTTTCCACCAAACGTCTTCAAAACCGGTTTATATTCTTTAGGAAGGCAAGCGTAGTGTTGGCAATTACATGATCAGGTCGCAAGTTCGGTCTCAGATAGTGGGTGCTGTTATCAAACTCCCTACCCATACTGGTCACTCATGCGCCCATCTGTACCTAGCAAGAGACTTAATCAATTCACTTAGTGGTGCGCTATGTTAGAGAGAAGTTTAGTAATGAACACCGTCTATCTCAATCTGGTTAATACATTCATCCAATTCATTACAATGAGGGGGGGGCTTATATTGTACGCCACTAAATCCCAGGGATTAGTTTGTTTGTTAGCGTCAGTGATTATGTTGTTAACCTATTCCAGTTTTCATATTGCAGGAATTTATGTGCAATAAGGTATACAAAAGTGGAACCATACTAGTAGAAAAACTGGTAACATTTCTCACCCCAGTCAGGTTATTAAGATCGTTCAAAAACGGCACTCGCGTATCTGAGAGTCACGTCACACGTAAGATATGAGAAGTACAAAACAAATTCGAAGTTCCATAGCGTATTCGAATATCGAGTTTGCCTTTAATTCCATCAGACCTCGTTTTCGTTCATCATTGAACCGAAAGTTTACAGGTGGACTGATCTGAAAAAGATCCACCTCGTCGAAGACAAAATCATCATGCATGAAATACGAATTCTAAAGGTCATGTATCCAACGGTTCGGAAAGAAACCACACCCAAATTTTGAACACTTGAAAGGAATGAACATATGCAGGACTCGTTTGCAAAATAAGTTTGAACACTCCTTTGTTTACGTACAAAAAATCTCGGCCGTTATTTGTCGACGACAGTATTTTCTGTAATGGGCTAACGGTACGAGGGCTAATCTCACCAGCATCGATTAGTTTCTTTCGTTAACGATGTACCAAACGCTTGAAAAATACTACTGTTGGTTTTTGCTGATTGATTATTGTTCTCCCTTGATTAGTCTGGAAGGAAAATAATTGACAATAGTTTGAAAAGACCCGATTCGTATTCTGTAGCATGTTTGGTATAGATTAATTTATCTTCGTTACACCTATACGTAGAAAGAAGAATCGGATAGTCGTTCGTTCACCGTTGAACTAGTCGTGGTTGATTCAGTTTGACTATTCGGGCCATAGCTCTCACAGGTTGTCGTTCACATATATAAAGAAAATTTGCCTTCCCTCACCTTTCATTGTAAATTTGCTCGACTTGGGTATCGAACTCCGACAGTTCAGTCATCATTCCATCTACCTTTCCAAGCGTTACCAAACAGTCGAGTTCGGCGAAATTTCACCTGCTCAGCTCGGGACTGTGGTATCACGATCAGAGACCAAATAGCAATATATAAGATAGAATAAGTGCGGTGTATTAAGCAAACCTTAGTAGTCATGCTCCCAAGATTAGTCGGCCGCTTTGAAATCATGGGACATATCCAGAAGGCCACGAACGTCGTGATTGTTTTGTCCATAAAAATGAATACTAGTTGATTACAATTCGATCACCGGACCCGATGAAGATTCAAATTTATACTTTTATGGCAGTGATTTTGCTAACCGAACATGTTTCGCATGATATTCCATGAATTGAAGCTGAAAACTCACGGCCCAATGAGATCACCACTTCACGTGGAGCGACAGTGTGACGAGACGAGGAAAGAGAAACTGATTTTGGCCATATTATATTGTATGTTTTGCATTGATTTCAGCTGACTATCCTTCGGACTTCACCTTCAGGCACAATCCTCAGTTCATCGATTCAACCACATACTCGGAAGCACCAGACTCGAGTTTCGCTTATATTGGAGCTCCTCAATAGTTTATATCCGCTGTCAGGGATTTGAACTCCGGACTCATCGCATGGAAGACGTGGGCGTTACCACTGACCCAACCAACGCATACCATGGCTGAACCAAATTGCCAATTCATATTTGCTCAGAAGTCGTCTTCAGTAATAGTTAGCTCGTGCGTGAAGATGAAGTCCGAAGGACAGTCAGCTCAAATCAATTATCCCACACCACTACTCACAAGTAACTGTGAGTCAAATGCGAAATGTTTTGTAGTCAAATCGATAGCCCATGCAATTACCACCCGATATGACCCCTTCTTCTGATAATCGCAATGTGCTTTTTACAGCATTTCCTATATACCTGTCGAAAGATCACTAGCGTATTTAGATAGTGCATAACTCATGAACCCTCAAAATTCTCGCTACATCGCATTCAAAAACATGTACTTCATACTTTTCTGCTAGGTAGGGGCGCAAAGCCGTATGTTACCAGTACTTGAAATTACACTTTACAGCCAGCACAATGTGAATACTATTGGTGTGCTTACTATCACTCATTAGGGGTTGATAGGAAAACTAATCATCCCGCGTACAAACTTGACACCTACGTATTATCATTCTGGTCCAACTTCGTTAACAGTTTGCAATAGATTCAGCAATTTATAAGTAGGAATCAGCTGTCTGGTTTTTTTTTCTGAAATCGATTTACTTGATCCACGGGGAATAACTATAGGATGCCACTCTGATCAGCATTGTCTCTGGCTAGGGATGCGGGGGGTCAATGCTTACCGCAGTTCACGTGATCTCTCCGTACGATTGATCCCTCACGGACCATTCGACCGAGAGATTGGTATCCATATCACGTGACCTAAATGTGTGGCCAAAACCTGAAGAGACCTAACTGAGATATACCTATGCGCGCCAGACCTGTTTGATGGATGAAACAAAGATCGACTAGCCCAGAGTAGGCATTGATGAAGTGTCTATCGATCCATGTGAAACCGTTCGTTGCAACCATCTGATTTACACCTGTGTCAAGTAAAATTGAGATGGCTCAACGGAGTGGTTTCCATATTGCGAATAAACCGAAGAGGAGGCGAGTAGCGCAGATTTTAATCCGCAAGTGCAACGAAGTGAACAGTCGAAAGACAAATGTGTGGTCGACTAAAAACGGCCACTGGTAATAATTCGTTGAGTAGGGTGTAGAAAAGTGTTAGGGACCGATTCCTCGTAACTTTTACTAACCCCTTAGCAGCAGCATAGATTGCACAAAATCTTGTATTTTTTACTAACTGCTGAAATAATTCTAAGCATTTTTTGGGGTCATAATGCTGTGTTTCGTTTGGATCTTAATTTTGGATTGAGTTCCCCACGCTGAAGGCTTGGTACTTATGTTTTCTTGGGCGATCTGTTTAGTGAAACATTCACTGTAATTAACGTGTGCGTGGTGTTCGGAATACCCATTCGTAGGTCAGCAATCACAGTCAGAATTGGCTCTCGAGCATGCGACCCGGGAAGAATGTCACGAAAGTAGCGGTTAGTTTATCGGGAGAAACCAAAAGGATTGAATAATAAGAACGAGAAGAAAAGAACATTGGCCACGGGTGTATTAAAATGTTCAGTATTGATGTTCTTCCATTGCCTTCCGACATAAACCGCTGTGAACTTGAATAGACCAAACTGCTGGCATCGTATCGGTCGTTCTGAAACTGTAACACTTAGAAATAATGTGGAATGATTGATGGCAGATCGGCTGGCTTTAGCTCGAGTGG